GAAACAAAATTAACGATTTAATAAATGAGAAGGGAGTGGCTAGCTAGATTCAAGAAATAAGTGTCATCATCCACACAACTCACCCTCTTCCCCTCTTTTATAACATATGTTCCCACCCATGTGACAACTGACAACGTTGCCTAACCCTAAGACAAGGAAATGACGAAAAATAAAGCAACAATTATTTAACCCTATGACTATGTTAAATAGTGGAGGGTAAAGCCAATCTATATTTCCGTACCATTTGTAGCAGTGGTGGGGTATCCTGAACCTGAAATTTAACGAGGGAAGATGACACGTGATGCGGACTCTCTAAAAGGCAGTGTTAAAAAAAAAAAAAATCAAGCCGACTGTTTCAACTAGAAAAAAGAAAAGGACTAAACAGACCAGTTCAACTAGAAAATAGTAAACAGTCTAGTGATCTATTTGGTTGGAGTACTGAACCAGCTTGAAATTGAACTAATAATCGATGAACTGGTTTGAATGATTATGTCGTTATTGATCCTACACTACAAAAAAACAGTTGATTAGCGACGGAATTTGCAATGGAAAAAAATTCCGTCGCTAATATTAGTTACAGAATTTCTGTTCGTCACTAATCCATTAGAAAATCCGTCAATAAATATTTAGTGACGGAATTTTTTCCGTCAGAAATTTCCGTCACTAATTCCATCAGTAATATTAGCGAATCAAAAATTCCGTCACTAATCCGTTGAAAAAATTAGTAATGGAATTTCGGTCACAATTCCATCAGAAATTAGCGACAGAATTTGTTTCCGTCACAAATTTTAAGAAAATAAATTACATAGGATATGTATACAAGTAGGAGAATACTGTTTATCATAATCTATTTAAATCATTTGATTTTTTATATAGAATAATTTATTATATTTTATTATAGTAGTTATTTTTTGATTAACAAGATTTTTTGACTAATTGTAAATGATTTTCTTCAAATATATAAAACACATATACATAATATAATATAATGTAATATAATACATATATAATTAAATTGTATACCTTATCAATGTTAATTAAAAAATAAATTTAAAGAATATTTATAAAAAAATTATTTATGATTTAAAATTCAAAATTAGTGTGGTTAGAAATTAAAATTATATTAAAAATATTTTTTAAAAAATAAAAAATTATAAAAAATAGTAAAACAAATATTTAAAATTTATTTTTTCATTAAAATAGTTATGATTAAAATTAGGGAAAACCATATTGAAGGTACCTATACTTTCTCTCAATTTTCAATTTGGTACCTATGTGTTTTTTTTTCTTAGCTAAATCTTTAATTTTGCTCTATTAACATCATTAATCCTTATGTAGAGACTAAAAATATCAATAGAACAAAGTTATAAGAGCTAATGTTGCTAAAAAGATAAAATTAAATGTTTAATTAAAGGGAAAAAAACACATAGGTACCAAATTAAAAATTGAGAGAAAGTATAGGTACCTCCAATATGGTTTTCCCTTAAAATTATCATATAATATATTTTTAGTTTTTAATAATATATATGTATATATAGTTGTTTGTGTAAAATAATATCATATATATATATATTTGATTTTATATAATAAGTCAACAGGTTCATTGCAGCTCAACTGATAAAGCCGCACGTGCGCACAGAAGAGGTCGTGGATTCAAGCCATGAAGAAGTCACTTTGAGGGAGGGAATTATGTGATGGCGACACGTGGCACACACGTGACAGGCAGAGGTGAGGTGGTAGCACATGTGGCAGTACAGGAGCACATGTGGCAGTACAGGTGAGGTGGCAGTGACACGTGGAGGTGGTCTGCAGTGATGATGTGGCAGGTGCCATGAATGTGGCATTTTATTTTATTTTTAAAAAAATTGGGTTAGCGATAGATTAGTGACGGATTGCGATGAAAATTTCTGTTAAGAATTAGCGACGAATTACCGACAAAAAATTTCTGTTGGTAATTAGCAACGAAAATTCCGTCGCTAAATAAAAAATTCCGCCGCTAAATTCCGCCTCTAAAAGCATGTTTTTTTGTAGTGCTATTTTTTTATCCAATTTTTAATATCTCAATTACTGTAGATTTAAACGGCTTTTAATGATGATTAATTATTAATTTTAGTTATGGAGGAATCGTAAAAATCAAAATTCTTAATGTTATTTACTTTATTATATTACAATCAAATTATTATTATATTTCCTTATATTTTGTTATTAGTGATTATTAATGTTGTTAGATTTTTTATTTTTAATTAAATTATGTTATTTTAATATGATCAATTTAATCCTAATTTGAACCTAGCCTGACCCACTAATTATTGGATTGCTACCTTAACTAGTTTAGTTTTTGGTTGGATTTTTTGTTCCTTGCTAAAAATAAATTGCAACAGAGGATGTCATATTTGAAAACAAAATGACGCTAGCTAAATTCGCTTATAGGATTGACGGGAATTTTTGGCTTCTTGATTGACCTCCACATTTTGTTCAGGAGACGGATATTGATAAAGAATAGGGGTTATTGCTTTCTGTTGTACTTCTTTGGCTTTTAACGAAGTTTCAGTGTTTAATTGAAAAAACAAAACAAGGTTCAAACCCTAAATGCAACATCTGTAAATGGAAATGAGCTCAAGCCAATCATCATCATTAAGCTCGTTCCTTTGCCTTTCGTGTGTGAAGAAAAAATGAGAGAATGGGAGAAGATAAATAAGAAGGGGTCGAAAACAAACTTATCGATTGAATCCAAAAATCTCATTTTGTGAATGAATTAATGTCTCAAATTGACCAAATATATCATACCTACCTGTTAAGCTAGTTGGTATGGTTATTATATTTAGTGTTAGGCTAAAATACGCACTCAAAGTTCTCCAAAGTTTGAATCAGGAGCTTATTAATTACTTTCCTAATCTTTAAATTAAGGAATGTAACGTAATTGTCAAATCCCATGTGTTAGTTTTCAAATGATATTATATATATAATAAAAAAACTATACAAGAATTTTGAAAAGGCAGAGGAGTTGAAAGTGAAAACATGAAATATTTGGATCCTTCATTTAGATTTTTGAATTGGAAAGGTCATACACAACTGACTTAAAGTTTACAAAAATTTTGTATATTTTAACCTCAGTTTTATTAGTTTGTTAGGTAAAGGTTGAGTTTAGTAAGAGAGTGAGAGTATTAGAATAATACTACCTTCAATTCTTAATATAAAATCAAGTTGATCAATTTAAAAAATTTAAACAAGTTACTGAATTACTTAATTATAACATATAATATATGATGTTTCTAAAATACTTATATGTCGATCATTAGATTATATATTATAATCATACTTATCTTACTGTGTCCACTCAGTTAGAAAATTATCAGTCAAAGCCGGAAGTTTCCAGGAAAGGTGCTCGAAAGTGTAATTCCAATTGGGAAAGGGCAAGCAGATAGTTAGATTCATGGGTCATTACCCTCAAGAGTCTTGGTCTTCCACTATCAAAAGGTGCCCAGGGTATCAATGAAACCTTTATTCCTCCTTCCCTCCTATATGCGCCAAAGCTTTCATTCATAAACTGTCCCCACACGTACGCTGCCCTAAAAACACGGAAAATAGAGTAACAAAATTTTGTTGCCACGTGAGAAAGACAAGTAAATACCATACCCTTCAAATATACACAACCCATGACCAGAATCCCAAGATAAAACTTCCATCTCTGCCGGTCGTAGACAGCCACCACTGCCAGCAGTCGGAACTCCGATCATGGCCACCAGACTCCACTCCAGCGCCAGCGGCCGGAGAGTTTTTGACAAAGGTGAGTCAATATACTGATGTTTAACACCGACATGAAATCACCAGAAAAGCAGCAAAATGTGTTGTATATGTCTCCTGCTTTCCATTTCTCAATCATTAAAACCTAGTCCATTTACCTCTTAAGGGGGAATTTTCTTTTCTCGGGGAAAGAAAATTATCATGACCGTTTTGTTGTTCATGTGCTATGAAATTGTTGCCTTTATTCAATGATTTGAGTGGCCAGTTGGAGTTTGGCAGATCCTCTTAAGAACCTTTTTCATCTCTGAATAAATTGCATAAGTAATATTTTGAATCGTTTAAAGGAATGCTAATGGGCGTACGTAATTCCGAATATGTTCCTTGGTATATTCAAGTCCTATAGGGATTAGCAAGTTGAGGTGATTATATACATAGAAAACCACAACATGAAATATTAGGAGAAATCATAACAAAAACATGTTATATTCCCTTTTAATATAGAACTATCACCGCTCATTTAATTTTGTTATTTTCTAAGTCCTTTATTTAGTCAAATTTTTATATTATCACCTTAATTGTGTTGGCAGGATTTAGATGAGTAGCGTATAATTTTAACTACTTACCCAATCATATGTTAATATCAAATTTTCGTGCGTACATTAGTACATTGATTTTCTTTCTTTTTCTTTTTTGGGGGAGTCAAACCATTAAAAACATTGAGAGAAAGGAAAAGAAGAGGAAAAAACAAAGATGCGCCACAACGGTAATTTTATTTTGAAATCAATTAGTTAACAAAACATAGTAGAGTTAATTAACATCAAATTAGTAAGACTCTTGAAGAAATTTTAAGTACATTGAGAACTTTAAAATATTTTTTGATAGTACTCAATATCCCAAGTTTATGGTGCTCATTGTCACTAAAAAATATTTTCAAAGTAGAATTACATGAAAAATTACTTTAAAATACTAAATGACACTGAAAAAGTACTTTAAGATACTTGCATGTACCAAAAATTAGTTTAGAAAGCTGAAGTTACTTAAAAATACTTCAAGGTGTTAAATGCAGTTTAATCCTAAATCATATATATCAAATCCTACCATTATTTATCAGGCATTGACTTTCTATAAATTATCGCATGGTGATTGATATCCTCTGAATTACTTATAAATTGCCAAATGAGAGGCCAAAATATTTATTGAAAATTGAAGAAAAGATACAGAGATACGACAATAATTTATAATTGGCCTTTATTTTTTTAGTAAAGCATATGCTTGCTTGGTCGAAATAAAGACCTTAAATAATATGTTGAGTAAATAATATCATAAAAAAGTTGAAATTGCAGAAACAAAAATATGACCATTGGAAAAAATGAAATCACAGAAATGAAGTTGGGAACCCACTTTGTGCCATAGTCATATGTCACGAAGAAGGCACTACTGAATGCTATCATCATGCTTGTTATCGATATGAAGAGTGTTACCAATCCAAATATCACCTTCGAGGGAAGAGACTTGTGAAAGTCATATTCCGCATATCGTGAGATAAGGATAGACAAGAAGACCAGTGTGGAGGCTGAAGATGAGATCAATGCAATAGCATCTGATATTGCGAATATCACAAATGATCGTTTTTGTATATAATTTGGGATTCCAGAGCTATCATTGATGCCACCTGGTATGCTAAATGCAGCTGAAAACACTCCGGTGGCAATAAGAGTTGAAACAACCATACAATAGTTGGCTGTTCTCTTCATCCATGACTCGGCATTTTTTCTCAATGATGCGTGCTCCTTGGTGAACAACTCCTGAGGAGTTTCACCATTTGAGTTTTTCATATTCACATATGATGGTAACACTATCTTCCTTACCTCCTACCATGTCAAAAGATTGTTAAAAAAATTAATTCATGTATATATTCTAGCCATGGGATCATGTAAAGCATATCATGTTATTAAGACAGACACGCACCTCAAACCATAATAGTTCAAACTTCATTTGAAAAGCTGCCCCAGAGACCAATTCAAGTCGATCAGCTGGTGCTAACTTTGCAGCCAAATGTAATATATTGTTTCCATCATCCTTGTCCACATATGACAATATGATATCCTTATTTGCACTTATATCACGGATAAGATTGAAGATGTTAGGATGACGATGTGAAACAGCAATGTGAATTATGCTTCGCTTTTGGCTGTCCAACTCCCATACCAAATCAGGGTAAGATCTTAGAAGCTCGGCTAAGAAATCGAAGTTTCCAACTTTTGTAGCGTCAAATAATAGTCGTGATGGCTCATTTATGATCTTTCTTATATCTTGCTCTGAGTTTACAAGATTGAGAATTCCTAGCCAAAGGGAATGAACAAGTTGAAGAGCAACACCGTTCTTCATCCCTAGGTTACATGTGGATGATTTGAATAAGTTAATTCAAGCAATATGTTGGGGCAGTCTGTGGTTTTACCCATAATGTACACATTAAATATAATGATTAGAAAAACACATTGATACGTATAGTAAGTGTTAGGACTAATTTTCTAGTTTCCTAATTAGCAAGTAATTACGGTGGCTAATTATTACCTGAACTTATTAGTTGATTCCGATGTCCTAGACTATGATGAGCTGAATCTGTTGTCTTCTGAGCCATGATATGCAAACCTGTCAAGCCTTCTTCATTTGTCGCTAATGCAAGTTCTGGCTTATCTCTCAACATTTTCAACGCTAAATCTTAGAAATTTCAAAATGTAGTCAAGAAACGCATACATAGATGTAAAAATAGATGCTGTCATGCAATTTAATAAGAAATATAGAGCTATATATATATATATATCAAGCTAATAAGAAAATTTGCAGAACAGGTTTTGTTTTGTACATTTAGTATTCATCAAATATGAACTTACCATAAATACCCGTGTCGATGCAAGTGAGGAATAACCTTTTCCACTCTGCTTCATCGAAGGTATCAATAGTCTTTGAATATAGATACCATACCACGTCAGCTCTTCCTTGTTGTGCAGCAAAAAGAAGTGGGGTGAAACCATTTCCACCTCTAATTTTTGGCAAGAAAGAGTTCTTTTCCCACATTAACTTAACAATATCCAAGCTTCCAGCTGCTGCAGCAAAGCAGAAGGCAGTGTTTCCCCTAGAGTCTTGTAAATCCAAGTCACTCTCATCCATCAAGTTCACAAGCCCCTTCACAAAGTGAAAATGGCCAGCTCCTGCTGCTACATGAAGTGCTGTTGGATATCCTTTTGCTATAGCAGCATTCATTAGCATTCTGTTATGATCTAACAGCATGGGCTTGGCTTTCTCCCAATTGCCTTCCAATGCATATTTGTATAGAGGCACACATAAGTTTATGTAGCTGAATCTGGCCTCCCCTGAAACAAAGTTGAAATGTTTTGGTTTTTTGGGTGATCAACTTTAACATGAATGAGGTAGAAGAGTAATTGATCTTGCATAGATTTCTGGCCCTTATGGCATATATGTTGGAATAATAAGTTTTTGTTCCTTTTTTTTTTTTTTGGTTAAACTAAAAGTTTGGATGATGAGCTAATTTTGAGAGTTCACCAACAGAACAAATCAAGCCTCACTGTTCAAAAAGTATTTACAAATCATTACCTGCCATCAAGATCCAAATTTTAGAAATGAAACTTATGAACCCCAACGATGTCAGGTCATATGGGCCAACAATTATTAATAAATATATCAACGTATATTGATATTGGAACAGAAGAAAATCATTTTCAGAAGGAAAAACCCCAAGAAAGAATGGGGAAAATAGCAAAGATAATTGCTTCATCTTGTCCCAATCACGTCTTGTAATTTTGAAGAATGAAGCCCATATTCATCAGTGACCAGCCACCTAACCATATATGGAATTGCATCCATTTATACTTTATTAGGTAAGAGGATTCCATCATTTTCCTCACCAAAATTGAATCAAAATTTTGTAAAACAAAAAAGAACCAAAAATAAAGTGAACATATCAGTTTTTCTGGTAGAGAATGTATCAGAGAGATTGGACAGAGTAGTAAAACATACTTGTGTCCTCCAAAAGATGGAGGGAAGGTCTCCTAAAGTTAGCTGAATCAATCCGCTGTATAAATTGGATGTGATTAGACCCTTCAGGAGTATCCATCATATGTGCATTTGGTGCATCCATTTATCTGCAAAACCACACACATTAAAACTCCAGCAGTTTTCCTATGCATTTGTATTGATTTCTGCATTTTCTGGTTTATTAATTTTTCTAATAACAAGTATGGGTCACATGAGTCTAGTACATTCATATGAAATCCTAGTCAAATTGTACTATTCATGACTTATAAATATTTCATAATGATAACTTTCACATATACTCCCCATATACATCTATATATGTGTATATATTTGTACAAAGCTTGAAATAAGCTATACTGTTTATGGCTTATCAACTTCTAAAGATATGTGATAGTAATATATAATAAAAATGTAAAGAAACAAAGAACTTTATACTGTTTATTATCATGGAAGAGACTATTCTCAAGATTATGATTAACTAAATATTTTTCAATTGATATAAAATAATAAAAAATGCTTATATTAAAATTTAGGATAATTGTTATGAGAAATAATGTGTTTTTTCGATACTCTAAAGAGGGTAAAGTAAACGGGACAAAATATAGCACTCACAGTCCCCAGCAGACGCTATGATGAGGACGCGGGGAAGAATTATTCAATTATTGATGATGACAAATTAAATAATTGTGTTGACGTTGAAATTAAGCAATTTCAGGGAAGCAGCTTTGGTCCCCCTGACACCTTCCCTGCCAATAGTTTTTGTGGTTGAGCATTATTCTATTTTCCTCCAAAATATTAATTCATCTGCAAATGCTCGGTATCAAATTGTTCCTTAATGTGTAAAAAAAATTGTTCCATAAATATATATATATATATATCCGTTTATATTCTAAATATAAGAGTTAAATAATTATTTTTTAAAAAATCAATTTACAAAATAAAAAATAGTTATATTTATTAAAAAATGCTGTTAATTTTCTTAAAATACGTTCTTTATTTTTTTTTAACAAGATGTCTCATTTAATCATTTGTATTGATGAAACTTCCTTTATAGATAGCTTGAAAAAAAATTATAAATTTCAAGGACAAAGTAAATTGAAGAAGTCTTGTATTCAAAACTTTGTAAATGTTTCAACTAACTCATACCTTTGGGATTAGAGGAAGTATTACACAATAAATTTAAAAATTCAAATAATTTAACCATAAAGTATTAATAAGTCATGTATTTCTTTGAATTAAAAAAATCTGCATAATCTAGCAAAAAAATCATACCTAGTTATCGATTCAAAGAGGAAATCTTCCTCTTATGGCCCCTGCCTATGAAAAACCAGCTTCTATAATCAAACGGTTAGTTTTCTGGGGCAAAAAAGATGATAGAATGTCAACGAATCTTGGATTGCATGCATAGAAAATAAGATTTCAATGATTTGAATCCGATTTAAAGAGGAGCTCGCACCATCCTTCATGAAGTAATCATAAAGGTAAACCAGAAAGAAGAAATAGTAGAACCAAAGAAATAATGAAAACATTAACTGAGGAATACATGCAGTATCTGTAAATGAAGGGACAGAGAAAGAAGACAGCTAAAATGAGGTCTTATTTTACCTTATGGAATCGTTTTATATGTTCTTTGCTTGGAGAGTGAGTTTGCTTGATCCTTTTGGAGTGAGATAAACTCACTTTAAGGTTGCTTCTGCAAAACAAGCCTGAGGATGTGTAACGTATATGAAAATCTAACTCAGCAAAGGATATATATATCTATGAAAAGCAAGCTCGATTACAGTGCAATACGGAAGAGAATGACAGAAATGGTAATCTCCGTCACAAAGGACTGCCAGAAAGAGGATCACAGAATCACAGGAAGAACGAGGGAATATTACAGAGAGAGAGAGAGAGTTCATAACAACCAACAACTCCTCCTTTATGACCTCATCGATATTTATCTTTGCCTTCTCCTTGTGCCTTTCATGCCGTGTTCTCTGGATCTTCCTCAACTTGCCCACCACATGCTCCTGCCTTGGGCCCCCCATTGGGTCACTTTCACGGCCCATTTGTCTTGGGATCATGACATTACTCCCCCCATTAGAACAGACCTTGTCCTCAAGGTCGAGGTGCCGGTACAATATCATGAGTACCTCATCATCTTCCCAAGTGGCATGTGGACAACCATCCCACCAAATTAAGTACTGTTGTAGCCATTGCCCCCTAATGGTGTATGAAGCATGATTGTTCAATTGCCGCTAGTTGCCCGATGGGATCTTCATGGACAGATAATAATGGCAAGGGCATCCAAGTTATTGAATATTTTAGCCCCCCCTTTAAAACCTTCAGATGCAAAATGTTCCAAAAGGATAGCATATAGCCATTTAATCAAATATGGTGGAGATACAGTAGCAACGAGGAAACTTGAAACGAAACGAAACCAAAGTGTCTTGGCGATGATTGTGTCCAAGGCAATTACATCAATCACAGGCTCTACATCATTTAAATACCAAGCTCTTTAGAGCATTTCCAGGATCAAACACCAATATCAAAGAAGAAAAAGTAATGGGAGATTGATTCCATGACAGTGGGTTCATTTCCAAAATTGAAATGCTCAAATGAAGTGAGCCAACAAGTGCAAAGAGAACAACAATACCCTTTTCCCTATGACAAGAACCACCATTGAAATAAAGGGCACCGTAGTTGAAGCTAGAAAGTGTCAAGCTGTAATTGATCCTTGCTCGTAAGACCCAGTCAAAAAAATCTAGAATCTTTGTCATTTGTACCAGGTTCAAATGCATATGAACATTGTGATCCTTATAGTTGTGGCAAATATAGTACGAGCTAGTAATAGTGGATCCAGCGTCAAATATTAATTGAATAAACCAACCAATGAAAAACTGGAGCTGCTCAATAAGTAATTCACTCAAATTAATTCCACACCATGAGAACTTTTCTCGGACAGTAAACCAAAACCGAAATGCTTGTAATCTACAATTCACAAAAAGAAAAATAGGAATACCCGGATCAAATGTCACCCAACTAACCAAACCAGGATTATTCCCATGATAGTAGTCTGAATTGCACCCCATAATGAGCATAACATCAAAGACAGTAAGATCTGTTAGAACCCATTGAAGCTTATATGCCATACTGTGAATGGAAGAGTATTGATAGAATAAAATAGTTAGAATGCAGTCCGATGTAGATACTGATCTCATATCCCATTTAGAAAAATTTCCCAAGGGAAGTTCCAAATGCAGGACAAAATCATACTTGTCTCTCTCACTGTCCCCAAGATTATAATTCTCATTAGCATTCATTGGAATATTCTCAAACATAGCAATCAAGCCAATAGCTTCGATAAGATGCTTTACCCATTCGTTCTTGCAGCCACGAATCTCTGTATCAACATTAGGATTGTCTCTATCTAACTCTGCTCTTAAAAACTCATACGGATTCTCTGTTTCAGCATCCTCTAACATGTATTTAACTGTCATACTAATAGAATCATGTGGATTCATTATTTTGTCAGCCAAGCTTTTATAAAATTCATGCTCCATAAGTAAAATATTCAGTGCAAATCCATATACGGACAGCAGCTCGACCTCAGATGATATGAGATCAATAACAAGAACTTTCTTCTCTAGCATTTCCCATGTCCTCAATCTGTTAGAAACAGCAGCAACCAAGTCCACTGTGAAACCCCAGGTACTTTCTCCTTTTCCACCATTAGCATGATATATGCAAGTGGCTTTACAACAGAGTGTAGCAAAACACCCAAGAATCAAGTTATGATTTCTATTCAAATTCAGTTCAGCTATAGTGTCATTTGAAAGGTGGGTAATAACAGTAACCACGGTGGCCACAGAAGGTTTTATACTGGACTGTTTCCTCCCCAAAGCCACACCACCAATATCAAACGGAGCAACATCTATAAAATAGGTTAGGTTTAACATATTTGTAGCCTTCTCGAACCTTGCATACAGTCCATATTTATAGGATTTATATAGCTGAAGAGCTTCAAATAGATGCACACTTGATGCACAAAATTCACCGAAGCCAAGTCTAGGATTTAATGGATTATATATGGTAAGAAGACCAGAAAAGTGTTGCATGGCAGCTACAATCGTAGCAACTATACTGGCTAAGCAATGAAAGAAATCATTAATAAAATGCAAACACCCTTTACCATCTCCTGGGTCAAACACGGAAATGAAGAACGGAAACATTGGCAGAAAACCAGCAAATGGGATAGGCATCTTAATGCGACAGGTGGACAAACACGTGGGGTGCATCTTAAATGACGCATGAACTGTGTCCCTATTGTGGACCATCAACTGCCAGCTTGGAACAACCGTTCTAGAATGGTAAAACAGAGCAAAACCAAGCATGAAGGAAGAGTGTGGCAATGATGGCTCTATCACAGAGTCTGAACGCACATCGTCAGCCTTATCAAGGAAAAGCTTATATGAAAGCCAAGCCCTCAGTTGCGCCAATGACAATGAATAAGAGTGGCTCAACAACCCACCAAAAAGAAGCTCGTCCTCTGACATTTGAATCACGGTAGAACATGAATAACCCATTGCCACCTCATCCATTGTAAGGGTCAGTTTGACCTCGTCTTTGTTTGGGTCATCAGCATCATCATCTATTGCCATCTCATCCTTAAGCATTTCATCCTCATTTTCAATATCCACCATCTTGGTTGGGGTTGATATTAAATGTGGAACAAAATCCTCATGGAGAAGATGCGACCTATGAAGTTCCTTGGGCTTGATTGTTTCTGTCGCAAATACAGATCGCCCTTGAGTCTCTTGGTCGATGTCCTTCGCTGAGGTTGTTGTCCATGAGTGGTCGGCGAAGCTCGTCAGCCTGGGAAATGGAGATAAGCCATCCATAGCTCCTGCCATCGTTTCCATCTGTTGTATAAGAGTGCAAAGAGAAGCTTCTAAGCTGTCTAAACGGCCGTTAAAAACTTGTTGCATCTGAGCAGAAAATTGTTCGATCGAGCCTTCAAGCTCATCAAGCTCGGCATCATTAAAATCATCTGCCATTGGGGTAGGTTCTCGCAACGAAAGCACCAATGTAACGTATATGAAAATCTAACTCAGCAAAGGATATATATATCTATGAAAAGCAAGCTCGATTACAGTGCAATACGGAAGAGAATGACAGAAATGGTAATCTCAGTCACAAAGGACTGCCAGAAAGGGGATCACAGAATCACAGGAAGAACGAGGGAATATTACAGAGAGAGAGAGAGTTCATAACAACCAACAACCCCTCCTTTATGACCTCATCGATATTTATCTTTGCCTTCTCCTTGTGCCTTTCATGCCGTGTTCTCTGGATCTTCCTCAACTTGCCCACCACATGCTTCTGCCTTGGGCCCCCCATTGGGTCACTTTCACGGCCCATTTGTCTTGGGATCATGACAGGATGCTGCGGGGGTGAAAGCCATTACTGAACTAAGTAAGAAATACACCGATGTGAGAGAGAAATGGCGACGGTGGTTCTTCTTCGTCAATGTGAAGTGTCAAGTCAAGTCAAACAATTATACCATTAAATAACGTACAGATTTAGAGACCGATAACATTATGTTTCCAATCCTCATCGATGGTCGATCTAAATAATATGAATTGAAGTTATCAAATTTCTCGTCCTTGCTGATAGTAATAAAGAATCGACTCCTACTTATTCTATCTACTATACTAGCTAAAAACCAGACATTACTTATTACTCTCTGGCCCTTAATATAAGACTAAATTAATTAATTTTAGTAGAATAAGGATATTAGTTAAATTAGTTAATAGTTAATATGATATATTTTTTGTAAAAACATTCTAATCTTTTCCCTTAATTCTCTCCCTCCTTCTCCTACTTGATTATTGTTTAGGGAATATCAATAGGGTTAATTTGAAAAAAAAAATGATAAACATGTAAAGTAAGTCTAACATATAGAACTAATATCAAATTATTGATTAAATCATATATTAAGGATTGGATGAGTATCATGATTAGAAAGCTAAATTAACAACTCATCAAAAAAAAACAAGGGGGGGAAAAAATGATACAGGCCGGGTTTTAGGCTCAACTTTATCCAGTTGAATGGGATGGTGTTCTAAAAAAAAAAGAAAAGGAGTTGCACAAATTTAATATAGAGAGTTTATGGGCCAAAGCTCATATCAGAACGATCCCATACGCGTCAGACAGCCCGTTTTGATGGCTCTGCATGAGATAGCCCAACCCAAAAAATAAACAAATGTCCAATTTTACAGTGAAAAGAAATGAAAGGGACGTCCGAGATTTAGTTAAAATA